CCAACACCTACAGGGCTGGAGGGGACAGAGGGGTGGGGAGGTGGGGGAGCCAGCCCGGGGGGGCGACGAAGCACCAGGGACAGAATTCAGTCCTCTCCTCAGGAGACACGGGAGTCGCAAGGTGTACCAGGGGCTGAAGGTTTCTGCAGGGCGAGGTGGGCTCGCCGGTCACCCCAGACTTGGGAGGCTGAGGCAGGAGGGTCGCCAAGAGTTTGGCGCCAGGCTGGGCTACAGTGAGTTCAAGGCCAGCCTGAACTACACAGCGAGGCCTCATCTCAAAGGCAGACAGACAGGCAGACGGGGAGCAAGGGGAAGGGCCGTGCCCACTAGCCCGGGCCAGAGGCACCCAGGCAGCCGTTACCTTCATTCCTGCGGCAGCTGCAGGCCCGCTGGGGTCCACGGCCTGGATGTGACAAGGCTTACTCCCCCGGACCACGAAGCCCCAGCCCACGGCATCACCCACGATCTGAGGGGAGAGCACAGGCACCGTGTGGCAGGAGGAAGTGGGGGCTGCTCCTGCTCGCCAGGAGGGGAGACACAGCGCAGCCTCTCCCCGCCCAGCTCCTCCCAAGTACACTGTCCTCCTTTGGGTCCAAATGACACATTTTACTTGAGACAGCCCAGGCTGGCCTTGAACTCTGAAATCCTCCTGCCTCAGCCTCCCTTGGCATGCGCCACCACGCCCAGCTTAAATGAAGCAAACAGGACCGAGCCTCTGGGTCCACACAAGGGGAGCCCACCACTCCCGGGCCGGCCAGGCGCTGGCTTACGGTGAACGTCTTGCGGGCGTACGGCGCCCCGGGGCTCAGCAGCTCCTCCCAGGTGACCGGTCTCTTCAGCACTGCGTGACAGACATACGGAGGAACACAGTCAAGACAGCCTCCGGCCCCACCTCGCACACAGCACACTGCACAGAGCAGGAGGAAACCCAGAGCATCCGATCCTGCTCACAGCTTCGGGGAACAGAAAAGGAATGCTGCAGTTGTTTTTTGAGACTGGGTCTCGCTACGCAGCCCAGGGTGGCCTTGGACTCGGGGAGATCTTCCTGCCTCAGCTTCTGGAGAGCTGGGATAACAGGTGCGCACCCCCCATGCCCGGCTTAAAAAAACACAGAAACATTTTTGGAAGGGAAGCAGGGGATACAGAGCAGGGTTTTCTGATCGTGCTGCTTCTCTCTGCTGAAGCTCAGCACGCTTTCTCGCCCCGAGGCCCCACATCCCGGCCCAGTCCGGGCCCCACCCCAGGGTGCCCCATTTCCCAGCTGGCACCCAGGAAACCTGCACAGTGGGTGCCAGGCTGGTGGGACTCATTTACCTGCGACAAGAATAGTGACTGGGCCCTTCTGACCCCCACCTGCTACCAAGACAGCGGCCTAGAGAAGCTAAAGTGTTGCCAGGTACAGTGCCCATGCCTGGCACTCAGGAGGCTGAGGCAGGAGGATCACCAGGGGTTTGAGGCCAGCTTCACGGGGGACAATTTTCCCCTTGGCAGGGGCAGAGGTGGTACGGCGAGGACGGAAGTGTGTTACATTGACTGCACTTTATTTCCATTACTGCGATGTCCAGCCACTGATTTCTGCTCTATTCGTTTTGGTTTCTTTAAAAATAGCTTTGCTATGCAGTCCATGCTGACCTCCAACTTGCAGCGACCTTCCTGCCTCAGCCTCCTGCCGCACTCACCGGACTTGGGGTTGCACAGCACCGGGGGGCTGCTGCCCAGGGTGGGGCTGCTGCTGAAGTAGCCGCTGCTGCCACCGCTGCTCCAGCTGCTCCTGCGGCCCGCGGACGCCACCTTGATCTCCTTGCTGGGGCTCACTGTGGGGGACACAGGTCAGTGGGCACTGGGAGGCTGAGGCAGGAGGGTCCCAAGCGCAAGCCCCGCCTGAGCAACTTCACAGACTGAGCGAGATGTGAGACCCCTGTCACAGGCAGGGTGAGGGCGACAGAGCGTGCCAGTGTGAGGTCGATTCAGGAGCCCCCGGCCTTCTAGGCGGCACCCTGGACGTCGGGAGGCTGAGGCAGGACGGCCCAGTCTGCACAGTGAGACGCTGTCTCTGGGAACAAAGGCCGCCTGACTCCGTCACTGCCGTGCAACACGCGTGTGACCACGCAGCGCACACTTAGGGCCGCTGTATCCCACTCTTGCTGCCCCAGGATGGCCGGTGGCCCTTCCTGGACGACGATCCCGTGTGGGGCGCTGACCGCTCTCCGAGCCCGGGCAGCGTCCTTCCTGCTGTTTCTTTGGGGTCCTGGGGCGCAGCCCCGCACCCTGGGTCTTCTGGTTAATCCCGCACCCTCCTTCTGGTCTCCTTCACTGTCTCCCAGCTGGGCCTGAGTGTGCCTGTGACTCTCCCGCCTCAGCCTCCCAGCAGCTGCCCTCCAGCCCTGCATCACAGTCTGGTGAGGGGGCGGCCGCGTACCTGACATAAAGCTGGCGGCCTTGCGGGCATCGTGGCCCTGGCGGCGCAGGCAGAAGGGGCTGTCGTGGGTGTCGGGGCTGCCCGGGGCCACCTCGCTGAGCAGCTCCATCAGCCGCCGTCTCCGGCGGAAGTTCATCCGGAACTGGTAGAGCAGGTTGCTGTCCAGGAAGGGGCGCCGGTTGGACACTGCAAGGAGACGGCACTCAGGACCTGGCTCCGAAGGCGACACGCAGGTGCTGGCCCTATCCACACGCGTGTGCCACACACTCTTATCAGTGTGTGAGCCAGCAGGGCGGGCTGGCATTTAGCACTGGGGAGGCTGAGGCAGGAGGGTCTCTGGGAGTTCATGGCCATCGTGGGCTGCACAGTGAGACCCTGTCTCAAAATAACATCAAGAAATAGAGAAAAGGCACAGGCTGGATGCGGGAGAGGCAGGGAGCTCCCTGGGACCTCAGAGGTACCGGCTGCTTACACCTCCAGGCCAGGGCCGCCTGGGACCTCACAACAGGTGACTGTGGCGGCAAAGCCGGCTCTGGAGGACCCTGGGTGTCAGGGGAGCCCACACCCCGTGCAGCTGCCCACCCGGTCACGGCCTTGGCTGAGGTGAAACGCAAGGGAAACCGGGAAACCGGGAGCGAGTGGCAGCCACCACTAGGTGAGGCCTGGCCCTGGGAGGGACACGGGCCCCGCATGCAGGGCCCGGCTGTCCCGCAGGTCACGGCGTGCGCCCTGGTTGCGCCCTCCCGTACACGTCTGGCAGACACAGCGAAAGCGGAGCACACTGCAATCCCTGCACCCCTGGAGGCGGAGGCAGGAGGATCTCCAGTTCAAGCCAGCCCCGTGTGGGCTGCTTAACAAGACCCTGCCTCACCATGAAACAGGATAAACGGGCCCAGCAGGGCAGCTCCTTGTGAAGGCCCTGGGCTCCCTGCCGGGATCACAGTTGTTTTTACTACACCTTCCACTCGCCCGAGTGGACCCAAAACTCCTCATCCTGAGGCTGCAGGTTCAGCTCAACACAGAGGCGGGAGGCCGAGGCGGGAGGATCGCCACGCGTTCAAGGCCAGCATGGACCACAGAGCCAGACCCCATCTCAGAGAACAAAGCTCAGCAGAAGCTGAGGCTCCGAACCTCCCCACCTCTGCCCCCTGCCCCAGCTGACACCAGGCCCATGCAAGCAGCCCGGCCCTGTGCCCACACGGGATAGAGGGCTGGGCTGTTTACTTTCCTTCTACTTTGGACTCAGCTGTAATAAAAAGGAAAATAGCACCAAAGCACACTCAGAAGCACAGTAGGAAAATTCCCAGAAATTCTACATTAAAAAGTAAAAAAGAAGCTGGTGTGGTGGCCCACATCTGTGGTCCCAGAACTCTGGGAGGCTGAGGCAGGAGGGTGCACATTCCGACCCAGCCCGGGCAACTTAACATATTAGTAAGCCCCTGTGTCCCAGCTTAAAAACATGAGATTTTAAAGGGCTGAGGCCATGGGTTCAATCACCAGTGGTGTGGAAGGAAGGAAGGGAGGAAGGAAAGCCGCTGCTGACAACACTCAACACATTAACCCCTGAGGACGCAATGAGGAAACCTTCCTCCCTTGTAGCCAATCACCTGAGGCAGGAATGGCAGCCCCAGTCCCCTCAAAGTCCTCATCCCATCATTGAGAGGAACAGGACTGTCCCAGGGACTGCTGGGAAGAGCAGAGGGGCTGAAAGGAGGCTGAGGCAGGAGGATCTCCATCAATCTGAGCTCGCCAGCCTGGCTACACAAGGAGATGCTGTCTCAAACCTCCCCTCCCGCCAGAAAGGGCTGCATAAGAAAACTTCCATCCAAGACGCTTTTCCAGGCCTCATCTTCACCCGGGTTCCCTACTGCCTGCGGCTACACGCCCCTTGGGATCTGAGCCCCCACCTCCCCAGCTCCCCGCGGGGCCAACCAGGTCCCCTTTCCCTCTGTCATCTGCCTCGGCACAGGAAGGTCCTGGGTGACTCCCCTCCCGCCAGAAAGGGCTGCATAAGAAAACTTCCATCCAAGACGCTTTTCCAGGCCTCATCTTCACCCGGGTTCCCTACTGCCTGCGGCTACACGCCCCTTGGGATCTGAGCCCCCACCTCCCCAGCTCCCCGCGGGGCCAACCAGGTCCCCTTTCCCTCTGTCATCTGCCTCGGCACAGGAAGGTCCTGGGTGAGGAATCCCAGGCTGGGCCGGGGCTCACAGAGCCTCCACTCTGCGCTACATTCTCAGCTGGCTGTGAACTTTTAAATTTTGGGGCAGGGTCTTGAGAAGCGGCTAAGGTCCCCAGGCTGGGCTCGAACCCGCACTTCCCTGCCTCGGCCTCCCAGAGCTGCGGGGCTTCTGGGGGAGCAGCTCGGCCCCCACCCCGCCTTCCCCGGCAGCCCTGCGCTCCCAGCCCCGCTCTCTCTGCTCCAGGGAAACCTGACGCCTGTCATTAAGGGGGCAGCGCCGGCCGGGGCGCACACGCGGGAGCTCTGCAAACGCCGACTGTGGCCAGCGTGGGACACACATGGGGAGGATGAGGCAGGAGGACCTAGGGCCGGGGCTCGGGGGAGAACAAGCGCCCAGCGTCTGAGGCCGTGGCTTGTCCCGGAGCCTCCACAAGGGGAAAAGGAAACAAAGAGGAGGCGGTTTGCAAGCTGAGGCCCGGCGAGCCGGCGGGCCTGTCATTTCCGTGTCGGCTGGGCCACAAGTCCGGTCACACAGCGCAGCCTTGGGGAGAAGGTCACTCGTCCCGGCCCCACATGCTGCAGCTGCTCAGGGGCCTCACGGGGCCCTCAAAGGTCGGATCAGGGCTCTAAGCGGGCACACGCTAAGAATGTGCAGCGTGCAAGGCACGCCTGTGAGCACGGCCTCGGGAGGCTGAGGCAGGAGGGCTGCCGTGACTTCCAGGCCAGCCTGGGCTGCACAGTGAGACCCTGGCTCCACCAAAACAACAAGGTAAAAACAGAATCTCTGAAGCATTTTCCGCTGTGGCTGGTACGAGGTCCACACCGGCACTGACACCCGATAAACGCACTGTGGGTTTGTGCACACGGTCCGTTCCGCTGGTGACACAGTCACACTCAGCTGGCCGGGGCCCAGGGGCTGAGGTGACCCCGCTTTCTGCCCAGGGAGTGGCCCAAGGTGACCCCTTTAATGGTCAACCTGGGGTTAATCTTTAGCCAGATGGGTCAGAGCCAGCCAGAGAAGCGCCGGTTCAGCCCCGCCTGCGCACATACACACACTCTGCAGCCTCGCTCGAGCCCCAGGTCAGTGACTGAGCAGTGGCTGGCAGGGGACCTGCTGTGTCAGGCCCTGCATCCTCGGAAACCGCAGCTTCCAAAACCCAGAACACCGAGCCAGGCCCTAGCACCCGGGAGGCCGAGGTAGGAGGGTCCCTGGGTCCCAGGCCGGCCTGGGCCGCTCACCGTGCTGGACGATGCCGTGCTCTGTGAGCCGCTGGCACAGCTGCTCGGCCTCAGCAGTGGCTGGCAGGGGACCTGCTGTGTCAGGCCCTGCATCCTCGGAAACCGCAGCTTCCAAAACCCAGAACACCGAGCCAGGCCCTAGCACCCGGGAGGCCGAGGTAGGAGGGTCCCTGGGTCCCAGGCCGGCCTGGGCCGCTCACCGTGCTGGACGATGCCGTGCTCTGTGAGCCGCTGGCACAGCTGCTCGGCCTCTC